TATATACAATCTAGTTATTTATTATGTGTTATGTTATTATAGATTGAACATACACCACCAAATACATACGTGTAGCGAAGACGTTACAGCAATGACGTATAACTCCGAGGCCATTGTTCTGGACGGAAAATACATACAACAACAAATCACAGAGGATGACAATGCAGCCGAATACTAAAAAATAAATATGTACAAAAACACAAAAAATATATATATACTAGATAGTCATTTAATGTAAAAACAATAAATTGTGAATAAACAAAAGTAAAAGAGAGAGACACGTCAGAGCATATGTGTTTATACTTCCCTAAACATAAATTAATTATAAATCATAAGAACAAATAATTGTATAGAAAAATGACCAAACCACACACTACAATATATGTAAATACATGTCTTTATTTATACACATATAGCGACATATAAATGGACAATATATAATAAAATATGTATTATTTTTAATTTAAAGAATGAATATATAGAGCACTATACATAACAACATTTTTTAATTCAAAGAATGAATATATATAAAGTAATATAGTTAAGAATATATAGAGAGAGTATAGTTAAGAAACAATACAAAGCTACAGGTCGCTCAACGTATCGTTCCGTGTTGACCACCACGCGTATAGTTTACACACGTTCTCTATAGCGCAATTTCTCGAGTGGTTTCCGCAGTTGAAAACTCGCGAATCGTCGAGATTTCGCAGACTGTCGATGTCCTCGTAGTCGATGTCGATGGTTTCGATGACGATGTCACAATCGTTGACGACGTCGCCGACGATCTTTGTCAACCACTGCTTCTTCTCGACACCTTTTACATACACCAGTGTAGACCCGTTGTTCGATACACATGACAGAGCGTTTCGAAGCATCNGNTTCAAGCGCTGATATTCCACCGTTCCATCGGTCCAGTGCAGGCTGTGATGGNTGACCGTGAGCCAGCACGCTCGCGTCTGCTCGGCTTTTGTTAACAGGTTCCACGACATAGGTTCTTGAAACACATGGTGAATCAGCTCGCGTCCGTTCCGAAGTATCGCCGCTTCCTTAGTTATAAAGTTGTTATCCCCAATCATAAAATCTTGAAGATCCACAAATATAAGTATGTCCGCTGAGGAACGCAGCATGGTGGACATTGTAGTCGTCGACGTTGACAAAGCGTGCGACATCGTTGACCGTACGAACGCGACTGACGCCTGCTCTAAACGATACGTCGCACGACGCTGGTCAGCGGGTTGTATTCGACGATGCNATCGTGTATGATCAGACAGTACGCGGTTGTATCGGTGGGTACATTTTCTTTGCAGTTAAATTCAATGCAAACGTCAACGGTGACGCTTTTGACTGTTTCGTTTTGGCGCGAACAGTCGATGACTACGAGCGGTCCGCAATAGATGAACTTGTCCAACGTTAGAAGCGCCTCGTTCTTGTCGCATCCGTAGTAGAATCGTCTGAATTTGATGTACTTGTCATACAAAATGGCGTATTGTTCCTTACCAAAATCTAGATTCAAATCGTCGTAGAGATAGAAATCCGAATTTAGGAACAACTTTACATTGGATAAGTTGCAATGATCGAATCGCGAGCAATCTCGGCTGACAACATTCTTTCGACCGGTCTGCAACGCAAAAATGATGTAACGTGGTTTTTCCAACTGTGTCGCCGCTTTTACACCCCACAAATGAGATGTTGTGCTCTGTAACAGCGGATACTCATANAGATCCCACGAGCGAAAACCCATGGTCAAATATTGACCGCTTTCCAAAGTGCGCAACAGCTTCAATTTGTTCACATCGTTTAACACAACGTGCGGCATTCGCCACTTCACCTTGTGCAATTCCACCGTTGGTCCGCTGTTAGCCGAAGCAACGACGCTATTGTTGGCGTTGCGCGATCGTATCAGAACGAGTTCGTGTCTCGCGTTGATCACAACGCGTTTATAGTCCCAGCAATGTGCGGAGAGGTACACAAAAATTGAACTCACCAGCACCTTTATTGGTGGTGGATAGGTTTCATCCGGCATGTCGCAGAACGTTCCCCGTTTCGCTGGTTAGAGACACGTAGTTCTTTAACGTGCTCGTTACACCAGGGTTGCGATTTCGATCGATTTCCACACCATTGAGCTCGTATCTGATCTTATCGAACATAAAAGCCATGCAATTGTTCGTCAACGCGGCGGCGGTGGCAACCGCGCCGCTTCCTTCCACCGCTCCAGCGGTGATTTGCAGACTGAACTTTCCTTCGACGTATAAGTAACTGTCGGACGACAAAGTGTAAACATCTTGTTGTTGAATGAGTATGCGTATCTCATTGCTGTGACTAAACGATGTATTGGCGTATGGATTGTACGTGTAAGTCTCGATCTTGACGATACGATCGTCGAAGACAGGTTCACCACCGACGTTGAGTACGTCGTTCATCGTTGATGTTGTTGTTGTTGTCACTTGTGTCTACTGCGTAACCCAACGGACGCAAAAACGTTGCGTTTCGCGCAGTCAACGTCGAACGATTCAAAACGGTGGAACAATCTCGTTGCGTTGTGTTTCGTTTTCTCGACGCGGTCACGACGAGCATAATCTTTTGTTTATTCCCCCTTACTGCGCAGCCGTCGACGTTGTTTTTTTACTCGCGTATCTTCCGTACGTGCAAGCGCACCGATATCGTTTTGCCGCGAAAATCGATCAATCGACCGTTCTGATCCACTATGCGCACCGTAATGTCTGTAACGTTCCTTACGAAGACCGGGAGGTAAATGAGTTGGCGCGGCGTTTTCGACAGTTTATATCCCAGTGGTACGTTCGGAGCGAATTCGTGTATTGTGTGCACGAGTTGCTCGTTGCTGTACGCTCCCGCGGTGATGTTGCATTCCACGCGAATTACGTTCACATTCATAATGTTTACCGGTTCGTCTGACGCGTACCACCGGTTGGGTTGTGACCGGGGTTAGGTGGAAAATTTGCTGTGTACTCACAGTAATCACAGTCGCCAGTCCGTTTATCCTCCAACGGACAAGGATTAATCCTTATTTCTTTTGTTTCAGGTCCCGATGCTGTCTCGTACGGATCAACGGTCTTCCCGCAGGACATCCAGGACTTCAACTTGGATTCAGGATTCACCGAAAGGAATACGGATGTTTCAGGTATGTATTAATTGAATAACACTTAGTTTTAATATAATGAATATACATATATATATTTCTTTTCAGGTAACAACACTTTATACCACTATCGCTCGACACATAATTACATAGCGCTCGTTTCTAACTAACTATTTATATTCCACAAGGTTGTTTATTTCGGAATATCTTTTATCGAGTTTTACAAGCTTTTAATTGTTCGCGTAACGCTGCTACATCCGCACGTCGCGAGCGCTTGATCTTAACTTTCTCGGAATATCTTTAATTGAGTTTTACAAGCTTTTTAATCGATCGCGAAACGCTGCTACATCCGCACGTCGCGAGCGCTTGTTTCCAACTTACTTTCTCGCAGGTCTCACCGTGTCTTGCGCCTGCGCTCTCCCCACTCCGGGTTTTTATTTGTCCTCCTTAAGAAAGGATTTTTGTGTTTCGGTGATGTGTGTGTGATGATTGTTCATGTTTGTGAGTATGAAGTCTTAAACTTGTACTTTGTGTGAAAGTGTTTATTAAGGGTTGACTGTGTGTGTGTGTGAACTTGTATGAATGTAGTGTATGAATGATGTATGTTTGGGTCCCTAATGATATGTATTTGAAAATTTGCTTGTGTGCGTGTATGTGAGTACGTGGGTCTAAATATATGTCTTAACTGACATAGATTTATGTGTGTAGTCTGTGTGAGTTCCTGTATGTTGTGTGATGTGTTTCAGCTCTTAAGAGCAGTATGTATGTGTACTCGTACTTTTGTGTGTATTAACGTGATTGAGTGTGTGTGTGAGGATTTATGTTTGATGTGTGTGTGTTTAGTATTAGTATTGTCCATTATGGATGTAATTTATGTATTTGTTAAACGTCACTCTTAAGATCTGTAATTGTTTGTGTGTAGTTGGTAAACGTGTGTGGTTCGAATGACGTGTGTATTTGTTCTTAGTGTGTGTGCGTGTGTGCATGTTGTATGAATTGTTTCTCTTTGTTTACCTCTGTCAGTGTTTGTGTGTGTATATTTGAGTGGGGGGGGGAATCATTCTTACCCATTTTTACCTTCTAACCTTACTACTAGTAAAAACTTAAAATTAACGCACAACGAACCTTAAGATAAATCAAACGCTTTACTGGCCTCCGGGTTAACTAACTTTTACAACTAAAACAAAAACTTTTCTTACAATCAACCTCTGTTTCACAAAAATAAAACTTAAACATTAAGGTAAACAAACTACACCACTGGCCTTTGCGTCTACCGGCCTTTAATTTTGACACAAAACTTTCTCTTAAAATTAAACACTAACGAAAATTAAACTTTTTGTAGGCCTCACGCCTTCTTTGTCTTGATAATAAACATAACACGCACTCTTAAAACTAACTCCTTACACTTGAGTCCTTTACGTACTTCAAATGCCTTAACTGTTCTAACAACCAAAACAAACTCTACGCTTGCACTTGCGCTACTGTCTTTTCACTCTCTACGCCGTCCTCCGCGGCTTTCCCCAGGATTTCTGCCAATCTCGCCTCCACCGTTGGCTCCTCCTGCGGTCCCACTGCTTGAGGTCTCCCTTCTTGCTCGGATGTCCTTGGTTCCTCTACCTGTGGTCCCTCCTGGGGCCCTGGTGACAGGGTTGTAGAATGCGCGACGACGAGAAACCGAGCAGCGAGTCAATGTTGTTTGGTTTTGAAAAGTTGACTCGATAAGCGCACTTGATCTCGCTTCGCATGGTGTTTTCGTTGGCGCGAAGTGTCAACGCGCTCTTGTCACCCACATCGTTATNATCGTCGTTGCCGTCGTCGTCATCAAACATATCGTAGCCGTCATCGTTGTTGTCGTCGTCATCGTTGTCATCGTTTTTCTTGTTAACGCTCGCCTTTGGTTCCCGACGTCTGCAAAGCACAGCGGTGTTCAGAAAACGAGCGAGGGCGCGCACTTCGTACGAACCCACGGGAATCGGGGTGATACTCTATTGACCACAGTACGATTCGACACCGCTCGATTCGACACAGATTTATTCGACACCAAATTATTCGACACCGTACGATTC